AGACTCCAGCTGGTCCCACTGGGTACCGTTTCTCCTAAATAACAAAACTTCGTTAGCATCAGCACATGACCAGGCCCAAGTCTCCTTCATCCTTGTCTTCCATCCGCCCCTTAATGGTCCCTTTCCCACTGCTTCCCCTAAAGGTGCCAGGCCGGTCCACTGGACTCCCGATGTGGCTACTGGCAGCCTCCAGGGATGAACACTCTGGTCCCTAATCAAAGCCAGCTTTCCTTCCAGCCACTCAAAGGCAATCTGCTGGGCGCCATAGCAGAGTCTGAATTTCTGCCTCCAGCCCTAGTCCCGAGCCCAGGCACCTTTTGAACTCTGTGGTCCCCTCCCCCTCCCACCCATCATGGCCTCCAGGGAAAGCAATAGCCAAGAACATAATAGGATAGCCACAAAAAGAAGCCTGGGCTCCTTCAAAAAGCAAGGCGGGTAGGGGACTGGTAAGATTCACAGCTAGATTTCCAGGCGGAGGGCTGCTTTGGAGCAAGCCCAGGAGTGCCAGCTGCCAATAGCCCAAGTCCCTGAGCCCTGTAGGTCACAGAGTGCCCTGTGTGAGCCTAAGGAGGAGTCGATGCCACCATTGAGCCTGGCACCAGGAGACACAGACAGACGGCCAAGGAAGTGGCCGTGGCCATCTTCTCAGGGTTCACACTCCTCGTCTTGGCCCAACTTCTACCTTCCGGCCAAGAACCACTCGCGGCTCTCCCTTTACCGGAGCAGTGCCATCTCATTCCAGAAACTTCTGTAGCACTCTGGTATTGTGCCTCTGTCACATGACTCGGTTACAGAGTGTCATCCTTTACCGGTTGCTAGATAGTCTTTGTCAGCCTGCTGACTGACTTCTCACCACTTGGTTTTATTTAATGAATGAATGAATAAATAAATAAATAGTATCACAAACAAACATTGTCAGAAGAGAGCTAAAAATAAAAAAACCTAATGAGGTCATCAACAAGTTTCTTGAAGAGGGCAGCTGTGACGTGGCCTAGCAGTTCCTAGAGAAGCCTGTCATCTGAAAATGTCCTCTGTCACAAAGGTATGATTGTGTAAAGCAGGGAAGGTGTGTCCCATAAGGCAGGATCAATTGCCAGGCCCCCAAAGGCCCTGTATGACCCTGGTGGGAAGGGCCAGAACACTCTATAATCTGGGTAAGTGCTCAAGTGACCCTAAGCGGAAAAGGGACAGAGACAGGACAATCCCCAGAAGCTCACAGGCCAGGTAGCCCGGTAGACACAGCAGCAAACAACAGAGACCCTGTCTCAAATAAGGTGGGAAATAAAGAGCCACACCCAAGGCTGTCCTCTGAACTCCACAAATATGCTGTCTCTCTCTCTCTGTCTCTCTGTCTCTCTCTCTCTCTGCGTGTGTGTGAGAGAGACAGAGACAGAGAGAGAGACAGAGATAGGGGGGGGGGAAGGGGGGAGGGAGGGAGGGAAGGAGGGAAGGAAGAAGCCTGACAGGCTGCAGCCGTGGAGAACAGAATCCAAAAACCAAACGCCAAGCACTTGACGGTCACAGAGGGCCATCCTCACTGCAAAGGCAAATGGCTCTAGAAGCTGCCAGAACCTACGATTGTGATCCTGGGATTGAAACATGCAAGAAGTCGGGCAAGGACTAGAAAGAGCCGATGATGACGGGGGCTCTGAGAGGCCACGAGGCATGTCTTTAGCAGATCACACGCAGTTCCTGCATGATCCACTTCATGGAAGAAACATCACAGAAGCAACAGCCAGAGAGTGAGGAGCAAGAAGGAAAAGGCAACCCCAGACTTGAGAAGAGCCGTCCCTGAAGAGGCCACACCCACTGGCCTGGATGGCCCAAGTGTGGAAAGCACTCGGTCAGAAAGGAGACACATGGGCATATCTGCATGCTATGTCCTAGTGGCCTGAAGCACCCCAGGGTTCCAGATGCACTGACTGACTTGTCTGTATACGCCTATCCTCTTAGCACCCTGGGTACCAACACAGCATCACTGACATACAGATCAACGTCTTACAAAGAGCATCTCACCCTAACTCAGAGCATCCGGCTAGAAACCTGCTCCTTCTTGTTTTAAAGTGGGATTAATAGTTAGCCAAGCAATAAGGACACGTTCTCAGGAAGTGGAAATAAAATATTTATGATTGAATGTTGATATATTTGAAATAGAGAAAAATTGATAAGTTCAGAACTGAAATAGAATTATTTCAAGATGACCCATTTTTCTCCTTCTGAAAGGCAGCCAGAGTGCCTAAAACCCACCTTGCAGAGCCCTGCGGATTTGAGCAAACCTTCAGAGGCCATCTTCTGGTTGTTTATTCATCTGTGTATGTGTGCACACACAAGAGAAAGTGTGTATGAGTGTATATGTGAGTCTGTGTGAATGTGTGTGTGATGTAAATGAATGAGTATGTGTGTGGTGTGAGTGTGTGTGTGTATGTGTATACATACAGACATCAGAAGAGAACATCACCTCCCTTGGAATTGGAATTAAAAGAATATGTGGGACTCCTGGCTTGTTCTATGCTAGGATTCAAACTCTGGGAAATGCTCTTAAGTGTTCACCCCATCTCTCCAGCTCCCACCAGGAGTCCTGGATCCCCACATCCCTTATCTGCAGCCTGGTCTCCTCAGTCATTGCTCCGCCCCCACTTTGTTCCCTAAACACTCCATGGACAAACACCATTTACTTCAGACATGGCCTGACTGGCAAAGGAGGCCGTTAGAAACACCATCTTCTCCCTTCTGGCGGCACCAGATCAGAGCTGGCATCTCCCCTCGCTGGAATGGCTACCTTTTTCACCCAGGATGGCCATGTGCCTACCCCACAGCCTACCCCTGATCAACTGATGCTTTCAGATCAAGTGTATGACATTTCTCCACTAGGTACTTTGGGGTATGTAGAAGAACAACCTTACTGTTAGTGTAGTTCAGAGTCAAACTAGGCTGCCAGTGGTGTGGCAGGCAGAATCTGTTGGGGGATATAACTCCCACTCATAGAGTTTGGCCAGAAATTTAACACATGAGCCAAGTCCTCTGAAGTCATGTGTTCCTCTCGCACAATGAAAATGTGAAGGTGAAGAGGAAACCAGGCTGGCCGTGGTGAACTACGGGCCCCCTGCTCTCTGCTGGAATGGTCCCAAAGCATCCTCTCTGCTACCACAAGTCATTCGGCTTCCACAAACACCCCGGGAAGTATAAGATCTTCTCTGTTTTATAAATGGTGACCCTGATGCTCGGAGAAGCCAAACAGCCCAGCTACCACACGCAGGCAGTTGACTGAATCAAGACTTCACGTCGCTTCACTAGATACCCAAGTCCATATTCATCCTATTGCATATGCAGGACAAAGGAAGAACTAAGGAAAGCCAAGATCACCAGTGCTGACAATTGTGAACCCTGGGGTGAGCGCTTTGGATTGAATAGAGAGATGGGGGGAGGTCGCTTTGCGTTTGGCATAAGGACTCACTTTCTAATATTCGTAAACACTTGAGTTAATAATTTAAAAAATAAGGGAAATAAAATATGAAGAAGTAGATGAAGGCCCTTGGGAAGCTGAGGCCACATAGAAAGCAGGGCTGCTGAGTTCATTTGTCCATTTCCCCTTAGGGAATATAAACCAGCCGCTGTGTAGAAAATCTGAATAAATACAAGCCGCAGAGCCAAGAATGCCTGCTTCTGAAGCCACCTCTATGTGGAAGGCATTTGCAGTTTCCTACAGGGCAAGTGGTGGAAGGCTTCGTCCCTCATGCTGGAGCAGGAAGCCCTAAGTATCAACTTCTTGCCACTGGGGACCTTAGCCTTCCTGGATGTTTTTCATTTGCTTGCAGACTTATCGGAAGTCACGGTAATGGAGCGAACCGGCTTATCAATAATTAACTCACACACAGTTATCAATAATTAACTCATACATAGGGCCGATCAAACAGCTTCTGGTCCCTTTAGCTTCCATTTAAACACGCATCTGCCTTCACCAGAATGTAAAGATAATGGCACTGTTGATATACTAGGAAAATAGGTCCAGAGCTGTCAGTTAATGGATTTACTAGTTTAAGTAGTTCCAGACCTCCTTAAAAACCAGGGGCAAGGGCTGGAGAGATGGCTCAGAGGGTAAGAGCACTGGCTGCTCTTCCAAAGGTCCCGAGTTCAATTCCCAGTAACCACATGGTGGCTCGCAACCATCTGTAATGAGACCTGGTGCCTTCCTTGCCAGCAGTACATTGTATGCTTAATAAATAAATATTTAAAAAAAAAAAAAACAAGGGCAAGCAGGACCCAAGATTGGGTCCTGCCATTGGCGCTTGTGAAGGGGGAAATGTGGGAGCCAGCCATGACAAGTTAAATATGAACAGGTCACCCAAAGGAAGTCCTTTACTTCCAACCATTATCACCTGCCAGAGTAGGACTCAGCCATCTGAGTCTCAGTAGTTTATCCTGAAGCAATACCTGGTTGCAAGAAGGACCATAAACTAAGATTACCTGAGCACCACCCAAGAACAGACCATCCAAACATTCCAACCGCTGTAGAAAGGATCACCTGCCAGTACCCACTCACCAGGACACCCCTAGACAAATGCCAGCCAATCAGGGGTCCTGAACCTCAGAAACCCCTCATCCCCACCTTTACTACTATAAAAATCCAACTCTTAACTGAGCTCGGGGCTCTCCGTTTATTCCAGTACGATGGACATGCAGAGAGACCAAGTTTGCAAACTTGCATACAATAAAGGCTCTTTGCTTTTACATACAGGGGGAAAAAGACAACGGCACAAGAGTCAGCAATGCCCTTCTCCGTAGACACAGCTTTGGAGAAGGGTAAATGACACACTGGGCATGGCTGTAAAGAACCCTTGTACGACAGGGTCTGCAAGTCTCAAGTTCCAAGATGCACAGTCTGGGAAGAACTCAAGACACCGTCTAAATACTGGATTAGAGTGCACAGGGCATCAAGAGCACAAGTGTTTCTCTGACATTGTAAACAATCGTAGCTAGCAATGACGGAGCCCACAGCAGCAGGAAGTCACTCGGAAACTTTATTAAAAGCACTCTCGCATACGAGCGTGGAGCCACAGCGAGATTTCTCAGCGCTCATGAATATGTATTAGGGTGTACTCTTAACAACAGAAATTAAGTACAGTGCAAATGGGAAACAGATTTCTAAGAATCCATCGTATGTTTACATCCTGCAGACTGTCTTTTAAAGCCTGTAACCAGATTCTTGTTCAGTGTCCAAATGGGGTGGAGGAGCTGCTGATATCTGGACATCTTCCTAAAATGAGTCTTTTAAGAGATTTTCATAATCTGTGCATCGAAGGACTCCTCTTCGCCCCTGGTAGTAGGGTTGCAAACTCAAGGTAGTGTCAAACTCCTGAGGTTCTCAGGGACCCTCTCTTCAGGGCAGTCAAGGCTCAGCTGGATGGAGAGAGAGAGAGGAGGCACCCTCAACTGCCACCAGAGCGCTCTCACACAGCTTCTGCTGGCCGTGGGGCACTAAGAAAGCCCTGGCATCATACCCCCAATGCCCAGAGAGTGAGCTGAGCACACTGATGTTTCATGTTTAGCAAGAAGAGAAGCATAAAGAGTCTTTCATATGGGTTGGAGAGGTGGCTCAGAGGTTAAGAACACTGGCTGCTCTTCCAGAGGTCCTGAGTTCAATTCCTAGCAACCACATGGTGGCTCACAACCATCTGTAATGAGATCTGATGCCCTCCTCTGGCAGAACGGTGTATACATAATAAATAAAGAATAAAGAACTGCTAAAAAAAAAAATACCTGATACTTAAAAAAAAAAAAAAGAGCCGGGCAATGGTGGTGCACACCTTTAATCCCAGCACTCGGGAGGCAGCAGCAGGTGAATCTCTGTGAGTTTGATCTACAAGAGCTAGTTCCAGGGCAGGCACCAAAGCTACAGAGAAACCTTGTCTCGAAAAAAAAAGAAAGAAAGAAAAAAGAAAAAAGAGTCTTGCATACTTTTAAACAGCTTGCCTCCAAAGATGTCACGTTGGACTTGGTGACACCAGCTGAGCAAGGAATCCTCTGAGCACACACTCCAGGCAGATAGTCAAGTGACAAGCAAAACTATTTATCCAGGGGAGGTGGAGAGCTGGGGCGGACCTCCTTTGCAAAGAGTAGTTAAAAGACTTAGAGTCTCACAATGCCAACCTTTAGAGGGGCTAACTAATTTAAAAGTTTACTACCAGTGTACTAGCATTGTTACTTCCTACTGGAAAGCAATACTTGGCATTGTAAGAAGGGCAAAACAAATGAGAAAAATGTCATGTGGGATTATTTACTGGGAGGTCAGAAGTAAGGGGCCTCCTACCAGCTTGCTGGTGCTCTGGTTCAGGAAGACCTCCACACTGCAGGCTGCTCATTGCCGACGCCCCTCAGCCTCTGCGTAAGATGCAACCACTCGGGAGGCAGAGGCAAGCGGATCTCTGTGTGTTCGAGGTTGGCCTGGTTTACAGAGTAAGTTCCAAGACAGGCAGGACTGTTTCACAGAGAAACCCTGTCTCAAAGAGCAACAGCAACAAAAAAGATGTAACTGGCCATGCTTATACCTCTCTCCAGAGGACTCGCTCCATGGAGCTATCACAAAAGCCTGGCCCAGATAGTTTCTCTGTAGCTGGAGGGAAAGATAAATGAATCACAGACCCTATGACCATCAGCACCAGAAACAGAACCCCCACCCAGTTCTCACTTTGCAGAAACCAATCCCTCCCATACTCTGGCTAGAGGCCTTTGGCGAGTCACTTGACCACTCTGAGACCCTCATTCACTGCATCTGGTAATGAGAATGACCCCTTCATTCCACAAGGTCATGGTGATACCCCAATAGTGTCCTACCTGGTGTTCACAGCTCTGTAGACTGCTGTTAATGGGATAGCAAGAGTGAGCCACAAAAGCAGCTCTGAGTAGGGACTGTGATGGGAGACGTGCAGAATGACCCATGTCTCAAGAGAGACAAGAAGGTACCACTGGGTCCCTAAAAGTTGAAAACTAGCCAGTCTACCTTAATATTCTTCCAAATTCAACAAAGGACATTGACACCATTCCCTGGGTATGTGACTTACATAGATTGTATACCATAAAAATCAAGGTTTTTAAAACCAAGGCTGTACGTGTGCCTTGGTCGTGGTGCTTGCCTAACATGTGTGAGGCCCTAGGTTCCATCTTCAGCACATCATGCACACACACCAACACACACCTCACGTCCACTAAGAACTACCACTCATAGGACTAGAGAGATGGCTCAGTGGTTAAGAGCACTGGCTGCTCTTCCAGAGGACCCAGGTTCAATTCCCAGTACACACATGGTGAGACACAACTGTAACTCCAGTTCCAGGAGATCCAACATCTCACACAGACAGACATACAGACAAAACATCAATGCACATTAAATAAACAAACAGAATGACTACCAACCTGTCTTTGTGTCCTGGGGACTAACCAAAGTCAGTAATTTATGTTGAGGTTCGTCACGGTACATAGCGCAAAATCGAAGAGATGAAGTTTCAAGTCTGACCTAAAGAAAAGAACAAATGAATTACTCTTGGGCTCTCTCACTGGATTAAGGCACGGGAAACAACTGGGCAATTGCTTGGCATGGTGCTCACTGAAAGAACACTGTTAGCAGAGGCAAATTTAGAATGCAAGACATCCAACAATGGGCCCGGCAGTGGTGGTGCACACCTTTAATCCCAGCACTCGGGAGGCAGAGGCAGGCAGATCTCTGTGAGTTTGAGGCCAGCCTGGTCTACAAGAGCTAGCTCCAGGACAGGCTCCAAAGCTACAGAGAAACTCTGTCTCGGAAAAAAAAAAAGAAAGAAAGAGAAGAGAAGAGAGGAAATGAAAGGAAAGGAAAAGAAAAGAAAAGAAAAGAAAAGAAATCCAACAATGGAAGCCTTAGCCAACCTAGGTATAGCAACAGTCTTGCTTCTGTCTGCCACCAGCAAGCCTTCCCATCCCAAGACCCATGGATTAGACAACTGTTCTTCTACCTTCTTCTACCAAATGCCCTTCGTGCTCTCTCCCTTCTCTGTGAGTCATGCTCCTGAAGCCTTCCACATCCTGGGCCTCCCTGCACCTCACCCTGCAAGGCTGATAACCTCACCCCACCACACACAAGAAACTCTGCCGCCATCTTCATCCGTTCTAGAGCCCTGGTAGCTGCTCAGTAGAATGCGCCCAAGGCTCTGCCCACCTCCACAACCCTGGCTCCAGCTCTGAAGGCAGCCATTAAAATGGGTAGTGAGTCTGAGCCCTACAGGCTCCACCCTGTCCTTTCGGCCCCACGGTGGAGAAACTCAGATCAAGTTTGCCGTTTTGCTAGTGAGTGAGAGGAACCAGACGGTCTCTGATGGCCACATCTGAAGCCCTCGTCGCAATCATCCAACGCTCTGCTCCCGGCTTCTAACACAGAAAGGTCAATACATTCCATTACCGGCACTGTTTTGAAAACTGAGACTATAGGAAAATGAGAAAAGAATGTGCGGCTGAGCTAGGCAGGCAGGTTCTTGTAAAAAGTTTACAGCGGGCCACCATCATTACAGAGAACTGTTTCCTGGCAAGTCCCGGGGCTGGCAAACATTTTGGTAGCTCCCTGTTGGGGAGTGATTTTAATGAAGGGTCCTCAAGGGGCTCGTCCACAGGGGTGGCTGTTATAAGGTCACTGAACACCAAGTTTGCCAAACATCACAGCCACCTGGAAAGATGCTCAATCTAGACACAGTGTCTTCAAGGAGGAATCTCTCCCAGGTTTTTAAAAGCAGGCCAAAATCACAGCATTTGGAAAGATGAAGCAGGGCGATTGCAAGATTGAAGCCAGTCTGGGATACACAGCAAGACTCTAAGACCCTGGCTCATAAAAAGAAAAAGAAAAGGAGGGACTGGGGAGATGGTTCAGTGGTTAGGAGCACTGGCTGTTCGTCCACAGGACCCAAGTTCAAGTCCCAGCAACCACATGGGGACTCACAACTATTGCCGGGTAGTGGTGGCACATGCCTTTAATCCCAGCACTTGGGAGGCAGAAGCAGGCGGATCTCTGTGAGTTTGAGGCCAGCCTGGTCTACAAGAGCTAGTTCCAGGACAGGTTCCAAGGCTACAGAGAAACTCTGTCTCAAAAAACCAAAAAAAAAGAAAAAAGAAAAAAGAAAGAAAGAAAGAAAAGAAAGAGAAAAAGAAAAGAAAAAGGAAAAAACGGCAGAAAATAAAAATCAAAAAGAAACACAGAGACACATCAACTTGTTTACAGCAGCTAACCACACATGGCTGGGCTTCTTCTGCCCTTTGCTGTGGCCCTTAAATATCACTTAATGGACGCACACTGCTTTACACCAGAGAAATCAGTGAGCATTGTATTTTAAATGCAACAGGGTAATGTCAAGACTAGGAAAAAAAAACCCAGCTAATTACGAAAAGAAGAAAGTCAAGACATGATACCTCCCCAAACCATCTTCCCTTCTGGTCTAGAATCTTTGAATACACAAAGGCCTGATGAATCCTGAGGGGAGGTCCAGGCCCCTGTTGGGGAGCTTGGTTCAGTGTGCCAAGTGGCAAGGCCCTGCCCCTGCTTCCTTACTCACTGATAAAGTACGATGGTTTTTGCCTTCCTTCCTTCTAGAAAGAGAGGAAGCAAGAAGTCCTCAGTCAAGCTAACATGTCATAATAAAACAACTTCATGTCAGCAACTGTTTCACTGTCTGTTTGATAATAACTTCAGCTTTCTCCCTCCACAGAACATACTCCATGTTGGGGTGTTTATTTCTTTAAGTTATTCATAAATATGTGTGTGGTAATAGCAGATTGTGAAATCTGTGTCCTAAAGAACCTGGGGGCAGCACCCCCCCAGGGGGGCGGACAGGCAGGCCTCCTTCCGACTCTCAAGCTGCAGCTTGGCACCAGCACCCATCAGATCAGGCAGTGTCTGATGGGGCCACATGTCATTCTACGACAACACCACTAGGAGGCACTAAAAGCACGTGAAGACAGCAAGCTCCTACTGAGGCCAGCAAGCTCCCGCTGCTGCCCAACAACTTAAGGACACCCAGGGGAGGGGTGTTCTTTGCCTGTAAGTTCCCACCTCCAAAATCTCAGGGAAGCCACAGCTTATAACTGCACAAGCCACTCAATTTATTAACTCTTGGACAAGACTACCTCCTCTACCATTGCTGCCTGTGAGGTCACAAGTGTGAACTCATTCACAGGTAAAGCAAACACTATAAGTACTGCCCATGATAGCATGGGGAGGAAAGGAGTCTTAAACAGTGTTGGGTCGGGGGGAGCATGGTCATTAAAGTGCTCCCCTTGTAAGCAGGAGGGCCTGAGTTTGCTCCCCCATAACACACATAAAAAGACAGGTGCAAGGCAACACGGTGTCCTCGTAATCCCAGGCACTGGGGAGGTAGGGACAGGCGGATCTCCAGTCTTGCTGGCCTGGCAGCCTAGCCTAGTTATGAGCTTCAAGCCAATGAGAGACCTTGCCTCAAAATACACGGCGGACTGTGTTTCATATGCAATTGTATCCTGAGGTTGGGCCTTGACATCTACACATATGTGCACATACACACCAACACACACAACACCTTTTTTCATTTTTCTCAAGACAGGCTTTCTCTGTAACTAACTTTAGAGCCTGTCCTGGAACTAGCTCTAGACCAGGCTGGTCTTGAACTCACAGAGAACTGTTTGCCTCTGCCTCCCGAGTGCTGGGATTAAAGGCATGCGCCGCCACCACCCGGCCACAACACATTATTTTTAAATTTTGCCACAATAAATAAAGTTCCCAGTTCCCTGTGTCCCCTTGCTGTATCTACTCACAAGGCACAGAATCTCATCAATGCCAAATTCAAAGAGACACAGCACAGCTTCATTCCAAATCATGTACCAGAACTGAAGCAAACTTTGGAGGAGATGAGCCACACCTTCTCTTTAAAACAAAGAAAGTGAGGTTCAGCCAGGCATTCATATAGTATCTCATTTAACCCCCACACTAGCCCAAGGAGGAAAATGATGTGAATGCTCTTCTGCATTTGGTATGAGAGTACCAGGACCAGAGAGGGAAAGCTCTTGCTGGAGTCCACAGAGCTCCTAAGTGGCAGGCATGGGATTCCCACAGCTTAGCCAGCCCACGGTCCACAATGGCCAGCCTCTTGCTTGGGGCTCTGGAATCCCAGCAAAGAATTTCTTCTACCTCAAACTGGAATTACTTTAGCATTTCCTCCAGAAGTTTCTTTGTTTGTTGGTCGGTCTTTGTCCTTCTAAACCTGAGAGCTTCTTTCTATAGCACCCCACTTTCTAAGTTACACTGGGCAGCGCGCCCCTCCAAGGAAGGTCAAACATACCTGCTCCCCAGTGGGAAGGGAGAAAACCGCTGCTGAGGCCGGGACTCCTTCCCTGAGCGAGTCATAGTAAACCTGTGTTGCTGCCTGCTGGCCCCCGGAGTCGTCCTGTAGGATATCCACAGGGTAGGCTTCTGTAGGAGAAAAGGGAAGGAACAGTTAGAGGTACTCTGCCGCTAAAAGAAGAGTTTATTATTTCAGGCTTTCTAAGGAATAGTTTATTTTAACCATAACGGTCTGACTGGGGAGATGGCTCAGTGAAGGACTTCCCATGCTCACATAAGGACCTGAGATCTAGCCCCAGATCCCACAAATCTGGGCAGTGGTGGCCTGTGCTTTTAGTCCCAGTGTTCAGGAGGCAGAGAGGTAAGCAGATCTCTGAGTATGAGGTCAGACCAAGTTCCAGGACAGCCAGGGCTACACAGAGAAACCCAAACAAACACAAAAAACAAAAACAAGCTTGCAATCCCAGCCCTGGAGAAGCAAAGACAGACCTCTCGGGCTTTCCAGTCAGGCACCTTTCCTAATCAATAGTTCCAGGCCCATGAGAGTCCAGGTCTTCAAAAAAACGAGGTAGACGGTGAATGGCCCCTGAAGGATGGCATCTGAGATTGACGTCTGGCCTCCACAAGCATGTGCACACGTCAGCATGTACGCACACCAACACATACCCACACACACAAACACATACACACATACCCACGCACACACCAACACACACACAAACAAAACATAAAACCCAATCACGGCACCCATCAACTGAATGCTTTTTCCACCTTTCACTGTGGTCCACTTGGGCCGTGAACACAGTCTCCCTTGAACGTAGAGAAGGGCAGGCTGGAACTTTGACATCAGCCTTTGTCACAAGCAACTTAAATTACTCTTTTTCCAGATTACCATCACCGCACAAGTCCCTAGGATTCACCCCTTTCTCGTCCCTCGGCACTGGGAGCGCAGTGGCTTGTGGGAATGAAAGAGCGTATCCCGGCAATCACTTGCCCAAAAACTAATCCAAGGTATTCTGCAGCCATCCTCAGCATCTCTTTCCTCTCGCACCTCTGACAGAAACAGATCCCCTGGAATCATCCTACGAATGGGCAGCACCCAGGTCTTGGAAGCAGCAATCGGTCGCCCCTTCAGTCGTGGACAAAGACGCTGCCTGCCTCTGGCTGACCTGTTCCGAAGCGCATAGGGACTCGGAGCTCATTCTGTGGACCCCACCACATCTCTACCTTTGATTTGCGGCCTCCTATGAGAGAAGCAGGCTACCCTAGCAGCAGCTGCCCCTTTTCTGTCCTTCCCCTTCCCCTGCTCCTCTTTCTCCACCTATCTCCTCAC